ATCACAGTCTGTCACATCACACTAACACATTACCCCTCCCACCACTATAGACACCACCCACCAGTCTGTCACATCACACTAACACATTACCTCTCCCACCACTATAGACACCACCCATCACAGTCTGTCACATCACACTAACACATTACCCCTCCCACCACTATAGACACCACCCATCACAGTCTGTCACATCACACTAACACATTACCCCTCCCACCACTATAGACACCACCCATCCCAGTCTATCACATCACACTAACATAATACCCCTCCCACCACTATAGACACCACCCACCAGTCTGTCACATCACACTAACACATTACCCCTCCCACCACTATAGACACCACCCACCAGTCTGTCACATCACACTAACACATTACCCCTCCCACCACTATAGACACCACCCACCAGTCTGTCACATCACACTGACACATTACCCCTCCCACCACTATAGACACCACCCATCACAGTCTGTCACATCACACTGACACATTACCCCTCCCACCACTATAGACACCACCCATCACAGTCTGTCACATCACACTAACACATTACCCCTCCCACCACTATAGACACCACCCACCAGTCTGTCACATCACACTAACACATTACCCCTCCCACCACTATAGACACCACCCATCACAGTCTGTCACATCACACTTAACACATTACCCCTCCCACCACTATAGACACCACCCATCACAGTCTGTCACATCACACTAACACATTACCCCTCCCACCACTATAGACACCACCCATCACAGTCTGTCACATCACACTAACACATTACCCCTCCCACCACTATAGACACCACCCACCAGTCTGTCACATCACACTAACACATTACCTCTCCCACCACTATAGACACCACCCATCACAGTCTGTCACATCACACTAACACATTACCCCTCCCACCACTATAGACACCACCCATCACAGTCTGTCACATCACACTAACACATTACCCCTCCCACCACTATAGACACCACCCATCCCAGTCTATCACATCACACTAACATAATACCCCTCCCACCACTATAGACACCACCCACCAGTCTGTCACATCACACTAACACATTACCCCTCCCACCACTATAGACACCACCCACCAGTCTGTCACATCACACTAACACATTACCCCTCCCACCACTATAGACACCACCCACCAGTCTGTCACATCACACTGACACATTACCCCTCCCACCACTATAGACACCACCCATCACAGTCTGTCACATCACACTGACACATTACCCCTCCCACCACTATAGACACCACCCATCACAGTCTGTCACATCACACTAACACATTACCCCTCCCACCACTATAGACACCACCCACCAGTCTGTCACATCACACTAACACATTACCCCTCCCACCACTATAGACACCACCCATCACAGTCTGTCACATCACACTTAACACATTACCCCTCCCACCACTATAGACACCACCCATCACAGTCTGTCACATCACACTAACACATTACCCCTCCCACCACTATAGACACCACCTATCACAGTCTGTCACATCACACTAACACATTACCCCTCCCACCACTATAGACACCACCCACCAGTCTGTCACATCACACTCACACATTACCCCTCCCACCACTATAGACACCACCCACCAGTCTGTCACATCACACTAACACATTACCCCTCCCACCACTATAGACACCACCCACCAGTCTGTCACATCACACTAACACATTACCCCTCCCACCACTATAGACACCACCCATCCCAGTCTATCACATCACACTAACATATTACCCCTCCCACCACTATATACACCACCCACCAGTCTGTCACATCACACTAACACATTACCCCTCCCACCACTATAGACACCACCCATCCCAGTCTATCACATCACACTAACATATTACCCCTCCCACCACTATATACACCACCCACCAGTCTGTCACATCACACTAACATATTACCCCTCCCACCACTATAGGATAACTCTGTCACATCCAAACCTTTCCACTACCACAACTACTTCAGGACACCAGAATCCAATCATCATGTGTCAAATCAAAACCATGCCACACTCAGCCCTACTCACTACGACAGGTAACCCATTATTGCTGTCTGTTAAATCTCATCCCTTCATTGATGGATTCAAATCCATCTGTATGTAAGCTACAGTATATCACATCTCAATCACACATAGCTCCCATTCTCCACCCACCACCAACACCACTGTTATTGATGATACCGTTATTTCAGTGATATTTATCCTCTATCAATTAGCATCCACCCGGATTACATTACGTTACGATTCATGCACACCAAAGTACAGCAATACTTGCTACAAGTTTTGGTAACATGTAAGTGTGATTGCTCCTTTCTGTAATTATTCCAATTACAAAAAGATTGGCTAAATTACACAAGTAACAATTTCTAAATTACATAAGATCTGGTCTATAACAGCGTCTGTACATCGTAGTTCTATGTTACTGCTGGTAACGCCACACTAAATATAGGGTAACTTTTACATTGTCTGTGGGTGAACAGAGAAAAACGTTTTAAATATTGATGTTTCCATGGTAACGTTATTTGGTTTCCTTTTCAAATTGAACTTCACCCACTAATATGATGAAAAGAGAACTACCAGTAATAAGTTTTGATGGGCTTGCTCGCTATAAGATTGATGCAGTTTTATCCGTAGCGTACTAATGACTGTACCTCTGTTTAGCATGACCTTACACCTCTGGCTACAAGCTAGTTCATGAAAGCTAAGGTCAGTACTTTTTGACTTCCAGCACAGTATCATTTGGAATAATACCTCTAGTATGACTAGCAACAATTTACCAGTAATACCAGATCTATGATGCAACTAAATCTAATATCAAAGTCTAAGATTTATAGTCTAGTAATCTTAAAGTGGAAAGAGTTCCGTTTGAACCCCCAACCCAAAGTGGCTACCAATGGGTTATTATTCCTGGTAAATATAAATGGGGGTGGGGGGATTATAGAAGAACTATTTTATAAAATATTTTTGTAGAAGGTTCATCAATGATGTACTATTCAGAAATCCTTGTTAGTGTGAAATTTAACACAATAACAGTTAGTTATATGCACCTATGTAATTATACATATCTATTGACCAATGTGATTACTTTGTAATGACATTACATTTCATACTATAATGGGGTTATGTATAGGCTACTGTGACTTCTGACCTTTTAACTTTGACTGAAGACCATCAAAACTTTATCAGGTGTAAAAGTCTATTTTGTTTAGCTGTTCAGAGGATGGTTAATGTAAGGTAGAAATTGAATTAACGTTACCAGCAGGTGTGGAACCTGATGTTATGACATTATGGTATAAGTAAAATACTGTGTTTTTCTTATACAAAATACTTTTACTGCGAAAGTATGGCTATTGACCTATGACCTCTTGTCCTTGAGAGAGAACTACAGGAATCCTGTCACAGAACTTGATGTAACACCAGAGTGATCTGACAAAATTATTTACTGGGGATCATGAAATGTCTTGTACAGACATTTTTACCATAAACTGAGAGACTGACACATGCATGCACAAGACAAAGCCATTACTGCATACCTTCTTTAAGAGTTGGAGGAAGGGGTGTTGGGGGATATTATAGCTTTTGTATGTAAAGTAAGTTAAAAATATAAGCAGAAAAAAAAGATGCTTGAGTATTCCAAGAATAATTTTGAAGTTAGCAAAGCCAAGTCTTCAATATTTTCAAAGATAAGGATTATTAAAAAAATTATTGTATTCTGGATAATTTAAATCCTATCAAATGTGAAAATAAAACTAAAAATGTTCTATATGACTAACATTACTTTCAGAATACTGTTTTTGGCTGGAAAACTACCATAGCTACCACTTTGAAAACACACTTAACATTCGTTTTTCCGTTAAGGGGGTCAATATTTGCTGACAGAATTCAACCCGCAAAAAGAAGTAAAGCACAAAGTAATCGGACTAAAAATTATTTTTCAGCCAAATCATTTATTATCATGGATTGGAAACTTTAAAATGGAATGGTGGTAAGTCGTGTGTTCTGACATTGCAACATAATTTTTTAATAACTCATTGTATTTGGTGGATAAATACATTAAATGATTTTATACAATAACAGGTAACCAGGGACACTTCTAATGCATGTGGTTTAGAGACCATGATGTGGTCTAAATTAAACAGTATCTCTATGTTGCTCATTGTTATCACTGTTTTAGCCCTACCATGTTTTCAATAAATCAGGTGGACATAGGTTGTATATATTTTACCTCCATTCCCCTCCATCCATGTCATACACACGTTATTTAATTGCTGACAAACTAAAGATACAGGGGTGAGGAGGAGGCGTAAAATTACTTATTTTGATACATTACGACTGGGAGGACAAGCATGCATTTGGCTATTTTTTTCTAAAAATAAAATCCTTAGTTTCGGTTTAGAGTAATTTGATCCTCAGCCTTTCAAGGCATTAAGCTGTAGTTTATGTTGAATCTACTGTGAAAGGGAACATGGTTAGGGGCAGTATAAGTAGCAGTCAACACTTAGTCAGCTTATAATTCTGTCTATAGGCAACGTTAGATAATTCCCATGATAGTGATCACTATATTATAACAATTAGGAAAACACAGAAACACACATCATTAAAACATGATATTCAGTTTTTTAATTCCTCATATATCTTTGTAAACTTGTTTAAGCTAATGTCAAAAACTTGTAAAATCTCTTCTTTAAAACAGTATGGCTGAAATTCCTACTCAATATAAAGGCACATAAAGCTTGCTTTGGCGAAGACAGTGTTTATAAGCTGACTAATCATTGTAACTGCTGTAGAAATACAATAATGTCAGTGATTTTAGTGCTGTAGCCTGTGAGAAGCAGCCGTGGTTTAAGCAGCATTGTTAGCGTGTTACTGTACAACAGCAGTCTGGAGAATGGACACATCCTCATATAGGAAAGGGTAGAAACATAACAAATACCCAATGTTAGAACCATACCTAAGGCAACAAAACATAGGACCATCATTTCTTTCCAGCTGGTGTATAGGTCACTGAGTACTTTCTGGAATAAGTCACTATCATTTAAGGAGTCAAATAGTCTGATTAAGGTTTGGTTGGCTAACTTGGTCAAATGCTTTGGAACACACCTATTCAGCAAAGGGACACTGTAAAAAACGGAGAAAACAAATTATAAAGTATTCTTATAACTAAACACAGAAAATACTACAAACAACCATAACTTACGTTTGTCTCCACAAGCCAGCCTGCTAGAAATCAATGATGCTATCACTTGTGTGCTCAGATCAATCACAATTTTGGATAATTCTTTGAATCGATTTGGTTCTCTCCCTTATCTTCATTTGTTAAGACAATGAAAGTTCTGAGATGGAATCAATGACCAGGTATATATTTACATAAAATGTGAGGGCTTGTGGAACAAACCTGAGTTTTGTTGTACATAAAGTGTCAACAATGAAAATAGTACAAGAGACTAGTGTTGGAGATGATCCACTTGTCACTCATATGAATGGTATACCTAGGGCGATAAAACACAGGACAATCATCTCCCGCCAAACCAGGCAAACGTCCCGCACAATTTTATGGAACATATCAAACTTGTTAAAGAATGACAGCAAGCCATTCCCAACCTTTGGGGCCAGCACACTCCAGCTCTTGGGCACACAATAATTCAGGACCGACTCACTGCAAAATCAACCAGCCTACAGATCTAATAACACATCAAACAACTACATACACAAATAATTCATATAATACCTAGATAATTTTCTTCAAAGCATGTCCTGTATCATTCTCTGTCTACTTGTGGGTTAATTTTTATTTAATAATTTCTTCTAAATATTTTGAAGAATTAGCTCAATTTCAAGCCTGTCAAAATTTACATAAGACAGCAGACTTTTTCTCTGAAATTCTTGTGATAACCAGGCTAAAAAAACATCTCCACAACGACACAGCTCTAAGCAAATAACCCTGTATAAAGACAATTGTAAAAAAAATCACAATCAAATGACATGAAGTTGATATGTGAATCAAACAATGATCTTTAAACCAAGTAATTCCAAGTACTGTATGTGACTTAATAAGTGCACTTGTAAAATACCCATGAGAATAAGGATAGGAGTGCTTAAATAAAGCTTAGAAATTTGTTTTTCTTGATGTTCAGCATTTTAACTCTTTGTCTCTTATAACAACCAAACCTTAGATTATGACAGTGAATTTTACTATTTCTATATCAAAGTCAAATTCTGAATGCTGATACATTTGATATGTCTGTATAACCAGTCTTGTTTTAGTCCTAGTTTAAACAGAAGTGATATACTTCTGTTCCATTCAGGACCTCCATTTCCTACCTCGAGAAAAACACTCAATCTTAAAATTAGCATCCTTATATGAAAACTTTTGCTTGATGAGCACATTTAAGATCAAATACAATACTTATTTAAATGTTGTTTATGTTTATATCTTTGCAGCAATAGAAAACTTTGAGACGAAAGCATTAAACTGTTATAAAACTGGGTGCTGTATACTTCATGTATTTATTTTAAAAACATACTCCTTATGATATATTCCAATGTACTTTCAGTAATAAATTTATAGGACCCTGTGTTTCAAATATTAATTTGTATTGAGCATATATTTCTTTTTACAATTTTTCACTTTTACAGTTCAAAATTCATTCTTTTTCATGAACTAATTGCATTTTCATATACCTATACATCAATTTTAGTATAAGCAAGTGCCCAAACATAGTATTCTGAATTACAATGGGAAATTATTTATACAATATAAACTTTGTATATAAGGCTAATTTCTCTCATGTTCATGGATTTGTTTTGTGTTTACAGGTTTAACATCCTTGCAACAGCCAGGGTCTTATGAGAATGGACATAAAGTTCTCTTCAAAAGAATGTCTACTGTGACAGCAATAAGTATCAACAACGCAAACATTCCTTTTGTCATGAGATCTATCTTGTAAATATCTTTGGTAAACCTTTCCGGTACCAGTGACAGCACCATATGTGTCTAACCATTCCATGAAAACTGATATTAAATGCTTGTAAAATCAATATTTCAGCCTTTGAATGAAGAGCCACCAAAGTATAGCGACAGTATAAGAGTCTCACAAAAGTAAAAGATATGTGTGTGGAATTCTGGGATATTTGGTATGGTTATGTTGTGTTAGACAGAGCTTACAGCATCTCTCTACCAATATTCCATATCTATAGAATATCATGTAAGATGAAAGACATAAACAGGACCAAAACAAACCTGGCCAGAACTGGCACTTGTGGACAAGAGCCTTCATCTATCATTTGCTGGCTGTAGTCAGTAAAGTTGATATCATAGCGACAAAGAATGGATCCTTCTGACCGGGAAAAGTCACGCACTTGATTGATGTTTTTTAGTTCATAGTCTGGACATTTGTTCACACACAGAGACATCTTGGTCGAGGGGTTACTGATGTCCATAAAAAACACATATCTGAAACACAACATAATTATATAAATGTTAAACTTGAAAAATTTCCTGAAAATAAAAGACAATAAGACCTCACATTTCCAGATTAGAATCCTGATCCTGATCGATTCTTTGGTCCTGGAACTTAAATGATACAACTTATCTATCTATAACACGGAAGATTAAAGAGGACACACACATACATACCAAAGGTTAAAGGGAACACACATATATACCAAAGATTATAGGGAACACACATATATACCAAAGGTTAAAGGGAACACACATATATACCAAAGATTATAGGGAACACACATATATACCAAAGATTATAGGGAACACACATATATACCAAAGATTATAGGGAACACACATATATACCAAAGATTATAGGGAACACACATATAAACCAAAGATTATAGGGAACACACATATATACCAAAGATTATAGGGAACACACATATATACCAAAGATTATAGGGAACACACATATATACCAAAGATTATAGGGAACACACATATATACCAAAGATTATAGGAAAAACACATACATACCAAAGATTATAGGAAACACACATATAAACCAAAGATTATAGGGAACACACATATATACCAAAGATTATAGGAAACACACATATAAACCAAAGATTATAGGGAACACACATATATACCAAAGATTATAGGGAACACACATATATACCAAAGATTATAGGGAACACACATATATACCAAAGATTAAGAAACACACATATATACCAAAGATTATAGGAAACACACATATATACCAAAGATTATAGGGAACACACATATATACATAGGGAACACACATATATACCAAAGATTATAGGGAACACACATATATACCAAAGATTATAGGGAACACACATATATACCAAAGATTATAGGGAACACACATATATACCAAAGATTATAGGGAACACACATATATACCAAAGATTATAGGAAACACACATATAAACCAAAGATTATAGGGAACACACATATATACCAAAGATTATAGGAAAAACACATACATACCAAAGATTATTGGGGACACACATATAAACCAAAGATTATACGTAACACACATATTTACCAAAGATTATAGGGAACACACATATATACCAAAGATTAAAGGGGACACACATATATACCAAAGATTATAGGGAACACACATATATACCAAAGATTAAAGGGGACACACATATATACCAAAGATTATAGGGAACACACGTATATACCAAAGATTATAGGGAACACACATATATACCAAAGATTATAGGGAACACACATCCCTATATCAACTATAAAAGTTATACAAAAATCTTGGCTACTTTACCGAACCTTAATAATATAATAATGTCAGGAATACTAGACTGAAATGAAATTCCATCAACCATCGAGATCACACTTTTGTTCCGGGTATCACTTTCATGATCTGCCAGAGTCAGTCGGAATCATTTTTGGGATGCAAATGAGAAACATGTAGACATCAATCAAATATTAGATTACATCTTAATTGAATTACAACAGAATATCTAATTGTAGAATTCATAGGATAGAAAGAATCAAGATCTGTAAATGAAGAAATCAAACTGGAAATATTGCTAAGAAAACAGATTAAAGTAAAGGCAGGACAACAGTAGTTCAAAGTAGAGACAGGTCAACACTGGGTCAAAGTAGAGCCAGGTCAACACTGAGTCATAGTAGAGGCAGGACAACAATGGGTCAAAGTAGAGACAGGTCAACACTGCGTCAAAGTAGAGACAAGACAACACTGGGTCAAAGTAGAGACAGGACAACAATGGGTCAAAGAAGAGACACGACAAAACTGAGTCAAAGTAGAGACAGGTCAACACTGGGTCAAAGAAGAGACAGGTCAACACTGAGTCAAAGCAGAGACACAACAATACTGAGTCAAAGTAGAGACAGGTCAACACTGGGTCAAAGAAGAGACAGGTCAACACTGGGTCAAAGCAGAGACAGGTCAACAATGGGTCAAAGTAGAGACAAGACAACACTGGATCAAAGTAAAACAGGTAAACACTGGGTCAAAGTAGAGACATAAAAACACTTGAGTCGAAGTAGAGACAGGTCAACACTGGGTCAAAGTAGAGACACAACAATACTGAGTCAAAGTAGAGACAGGTCAACACTGGGTCAAAGAAGAGACAGGTCAACACCGGGTCAAAGCAGAGACAGGTCAACAATGGGTCAAAGAAGAGACACAACAATACTGAGTCAAAGTAGAGACAGGTCAACACTGGGTCAAAGAAGAGACAGGTCAACACCGGGTCAAAGCAGAGACAGGTCAACAATGGGTCAAAGAAGAGACACGACAATACTGAGTCAAAGTAGAGACAGGTCAACACTGGATCAAAGTAGAGCCAGGTCAACACAGGGTCAAATTAGAGACAGGTCAACACTGAGTCAAAGTAGAGACAAGACAACACTGAGTCAAATTAGAGACAGGTAACACTAGATCAATGTAGAGACAGGTCAACACTGGGTCAAAGTAGAGACATCAAAACATGGGGTATAAGTAGAGGCAGGATAACACTAGATCGAAGTTCAGGCTGGACAACACTGGGTCAAAGTATAGCCAGGAAATTACTGGATCATAGTACAAACAGGAAACCAAACACATAAGCCAAGGAAACAGTGAATCAAAGTGGAAATGTAGAGACAAGTATTAACGTATAGCAAGGAATACAATAGATCGAAATACAGCAAACAAAAAACAAAACGAGAGGTTAACAGCCTGGAAAACATCATATAAATGGAAGTAAAGAAACCAGAAAAAGAGACATATCATATACCATTTTATGTTGACAACAGACTTATACTGAAGTTTATTTTAATTACCTGGAAAGTAATCATTAGTTATGGCACCAAATCAAAGATTTCCATTTGTCTTCAAACACAAATACAAACCTTGATATGCATTATGAACTTTAACTGTGAACAAAATGATGATAAACAATGAATTGTAGATAGAGCAAGGCATGACCCAGACTTGGGCTTCAAAATGAATTGTAATTTATCACTCTCAGTAAGAAACATGAAGTGTCAATATTCCACCACCTCTGTGTTTGTGAATGTATGAAAATATTTCATAAATTCAAAAATGTCTCTACAATATAATATTTCTAGCATTGATTAAAATGGATCTCTATGTAAAGTTAAACATCTGCTGGTTGACATATAATGTATGTCTGAAGCATCATTCCTTCAACAAAGTCATTTAAGTGGTGCACAACAAATGACTGTAGGACCGCCAGCATTATAGCCATGGAGCTAAACACCAAGGTTAATCAATTGTTATTGACAGAACTATCCAATATCTACCTACTTTTGTTTTGATCTGAAACGAATAATCAGTGAACCCAACTTCTGAAAACAACTAGGGGTTACTTCAGCAACGGAGCTGCAGATTCGCTGACAGTAATATCAGATCCAATGATAAAACCAGGATTATATAAACTCAGATCCAATGATAAAACCAGGATTATATAAACTCAGATCCAATGATAAAACCAGGATTATATAAACTCAGATCCAATGATAAAACCTGGATCACATAAACTCAGATCCAATGATAAAACCAGGATTATATAAACTCAGATCCAATGATAAAACCAGGATTATATAAACTCAGATCCAATGATAAAACCTGGATCACATAAACTCAGATCCAATGATAAAACCAGGATTATATAAACTCAGATCCAATGATAAAACCAGGATTATATAAACTCAGATCCAATGATAAAACCAGGATTATATAAACTCAGATCCAATGATAAAACCAGGTTCACATAAACTCAGATCCAATGATAAAACCAGGTTCATGTAAACTCAGATCCAATGATAAAACCAGGGTCACATGAAATCAGAACCTGTGATAAAACAAGGGTAACATACATTCAAAGCATGTGATATCACCAGGGTCACAAAAAGGGAGTTTTCCTTAGCCAGAGGTTTGTACATCCAAGATAAGTAACTTAAAACAAAACTACTAAATCTGATAAAACATGCTTGCCTATAAAATTCCATTTTAACTAAAAGCAGTTATTGTAATCATGAAATCTCTTGACTTTTCCCCTCCAACCACTTTCACAGGAGACAAGATGCAGATGTGAAATTAATGAAATAAAAGCAAGCAAAATGAATTACAAGATTCATTCAATAATGATGCAGTTATACAGTGTTATCCTGCTGTACCACCTCCTCTACAACAAGGACCTACTATTGATGCAGATACTAATACATACTGATTATTCTGATGAAATATGATAGTATCTGATCAATGAATTTTTCCATGGAACAAACAACTGCAATAAAGTTGAAGCAGAACCAAGGAAGTAATAGATTTCAATCCGTTCTGTGGCCTTGACATTGGGCAGAGGATTGTCATGCTATCATTATGATAAATTTCATTCACTTCAAATAAACAAAATGAAGTTGAAGAAAAAGAGAGCAGTACATCTGGTTAGTAACCTTAAGTAGTAACCTTTAATGTTTTGAGTGTTTCAGTAACAAGAAATGCATCCCAATGTAATGGATGATGAATGTGATAACAGGAAGCCTTACAGTCCAGGTTGGATATAAATTCAGCTGTTGTAAAAAAGCTTTAGGAATAAAACTTTCGACTAGAAATTAGATCTTGCAGTGATCCTGCTCCCTGCAAATAAGTATATTAATGTTTGAAAATTGTCTATTCCTAGTAACTGTGGCTTGACCTTTGAACCCTGTAAAATGAAACTCATAAAGTATTTGAGAAGTTGATCTTTGTTTTAAAAATTCTTGAAAGAAATACAATGTAAGTTCCTTTGGATATACCAAAGCTGTCTAGCAATATGTATGGTAAAGAAAGCAAATAATTGAGGTCTAAACATGGTTATCAAGAGATGGTAGTGGATAGATAAATAGGGTACTGCTAGACAACACTGTTCAACAACTCTAATTTCATCCTGTTCATTAATTCTATGTTACAGTTAATAGGTCACATCCTATGTTACAAGACAATCAAATCTACATGCAATAGCGCACAATCTAATACAGCAGGCCATCAGGTATTGCTTTGAATGGTGTAGACAACATATCCAGAGTGTCTACAATATTCCCACATGTGCTCAAGTCATTCACAAAGACACAAAGACATATTTCGCATTTATATTCCATTTAATTTATAGAAAAGTCAGTTTTATTACTTTCAAGGTAAGATTAACAGAGTATGTAAAAAATGGTATTGTTCTAGTTCATTGCTTTATAAACGACATGAAGGCAGGACTATCATTACACATTCAGCAATATCAACATAGCAGTGCTGAAAGGAATATTAACATGAAGGAAAGTAAACATTTTTGTAATGAAATAATTTTAGCTGATAAACAGTGCAAATACCATCACAAAATTCTGAACAGTGAGGAAGTTAATTCTAACGGTCTGAAAAAATGTATCACCGTTTGATAATGTGAAAGACAAAATGTAAACTTTTTCAAACAACCTGTGTGTGAGTGGGTTATTTTTGCAATTAATGTACCCTCATATATTCAATGTCTATTTACATATTTAATATGGATGTAATACGTCACAATTCATATGCATGGGTGAAATTGACATGGCCAAATGATTTCTGTGTATTAAGTACAAATTTCCCCATGCATCAATTTCCACCTTTACAGTAATATACTAACATAATCCTACTGACTCTGAACTATTGTCAGTAGCCCCTAGTCCTGATGCTCACGCACAGACAGCGTCAAGACCGTGGGTCAGTAACTATGCCCTAGTACTGGCTTATTTCATTCTACAATTAACAACAATAGTAAAAAGACTTAGCATGGAAGAGCCATACAGCAGTAATTTCTTTCATTCAAAGTATTCAATATTTTAATGATTTTGTTAGGAATGCATTGTATTGAGTTAGAACACTTTGCATTCATAGACAGTATAACCACTAGCACACTCCAACACTTCCTGTTCAGTAATCCAGGTGACACATATCCTTCCCTACAAGTGCCACCAGAAATCAGTTTAATACTTACATTTTACTTTATAGCTTGACTCTATAGATAGATAGGTCTATTGTTCACTAATTAAGTACATTGAAATTCTTGCTGTAATGTAATTTTACGTTATGAACTAATGGCAATGAACTTGATAAAACCATATAGCCACAGAAAATAAACAACAGATAGTCTTTTTTTTCTAATTCATAATAACAAGAGTTTATAATTTATGAACTTGTAACAGTATAACTAAGAATATATTTGTACAGTATAGATATATGTCACTGATAGTCAATAACCTCTGTTTTGTTGATCAACAGCTGGAAAAGCCATCTGGATGTCAATATTCAAGCCAATACATTTCTGTTGGCTATATATTTCTAACCCTTTAGATCCTCTAAAACAAAAACTACACAAGGATTTTATTCATAAGTTTTAAGGTACCTATTCTGTTAAAATACAACTGGTACTCCACCTATTTAAATTTCAAACAATGCAATTATTCCACCTCTGGTTTTAGAAATTCTAAAGCATTCAGACGATTGTTATACATACGTAGCTGTTTCATTCACAGGAGAGAATGCACTAACACATACTAAAAGGTCATGACAAATATAAGAGTAATCTGGCATCATTCAACAAAGCTGAGGGTACATCCCCATTCGAAAGAGGAAGTACAAGATGCTACAACCGACCACCATCATAAGATCACAATCATTTAAAGAGCTATAAGTGTGATTACTTAAAGAGATAGATCTACATGACATCTCAAAAACAGTGAGTTGTAAATCCTACCTCCTTCTCGATCTGAAAAAATCAGACACTTCAGGCATTACAAAAAATTACCAATTTCTGGTCACAACACCTGAGCTGGTGCCTTAGTCGCATAACTCAGTCCACTTGGCTGGTTTTCTGAGAATACTTTAAAATATAGTGCTTTTATACAAATTATTGTCAAGGAAACTACCACATCCATCCTACATTAAGCCCCAACATACAAATTCTGATACAAAATCAGGGTTTATTAAAGGCAATGAAGAGGCGTTTGTATTTCTTCTGACAGATATATATATATGATTTTTAATTTTTCCTTTCTACAAAATGGCCAATTTGGGTACAACAAAAAGACTGTGTAAAGAGGAAATGTCTGTCAAAATATTTAAACCAGCTCTAAATGCTAGTTAATGTTTTGAAAAAATCTTTTACACATATTTGATGGATAACAAATGCTCATATTTGTAATGTCAATATACTGCAGTCAATAATGTTATCTCCCCTTCTCTGATGTATTATGTATGACGGCATAATGTCATTACCAAAACATCATAATAAATGTGTCGCCTAAAGATGGTCGTAAGGCCTGAAAACATTAGCGGTATACATTTGTCGTGTTGATTTTATTCTTTTCAAAATAAATATATTTATATATATATATATATATATGGAAGGGCTTACTAACAAAAAAATACAGTAATGATTTTTTTGTCTGTAATATTTACAAACTGTGTCTATAATGTTATACAGTAATCCTCTCTAAGGAATATGTCATTGAATCTGTTATGTTAAATGGACCAAATTACTTACGGTCTATTCTTCATGTTCATGCCCGACAAGGACACATTGGGTATAGCTCGTCCAGTGTTATCCTCATCACAGGTGTTTCCAAAGCTGTCGTAACCGTACACCAGGCGAAAGGCATCACCGTGCATCACAGAAAAGACAGCAATGTAAATCTGAAAATCATCATACATGTGACAAACTGTAATCAGAGTGTAGTATTTCATTTACCTTGTAGTAAATAAGATATTTTTGCTTTTTAAGAACCTGTTTGTTAAGGAATTAAATTTGTGTGAAGGAAAGTACATGAAATGATATTCTGAAGGTATAAGCACTATTTTAGTTTACCAGATGGTGATACAAGGTAGACTTGAATGTTCACCTCTTCAGGATCAGAGGTCATTGCATGAACCCGATCGGCCAGCATCATAACTTGACCTTTGATCCATGCTGTGGGCAACAACAGATCTCTGTCCAGGATATATACTGTACACCCAACTATTAATCTAACATTCCAACCAATGTTCTTTTGTTTAGAAATTACATGTATTATTTTCTATATCAAGTGTTTCAATTGTTTTTGACTTTGAGTTACAGACTTCAAAATGGAAAGATGAAAGATAGAAAATACAATAGAAAATCAACATAGTTTACTGCCATCTTGACATTGGACATTTTGACCCTAATGCCTAATTGTCCTTTGTAGAAAGACTCTCCACCAAGTCACTCAGAAATATCATATTTCCCATCTAAAGTCACCATAACTTTAATATGAGCTAACCAGCAGTGACAGTTACCTGCAGTCTGAAGTCTACATAAGGTTTTATTGTCACAAAAATGAATCTCTAACTCTGTATCTCCCTCCATTTTGTAAAGTCATTCTGATTCCACCAGAACATAGCATCCCTAGAGGTATCATTTATGTAGCAGTAAAGTCAGAAACTAAAAGTGATGCCCTAGAAACCTATGATAAAGTCTGTTTAATGCAGAATTTCAGACCATAAGTAAGCTGTATTTATGATAGATTATGGAGAACCATACTAAGAAAATTGTGTTCTTAAATACAAACCATGCCAGCCCAGAACAGGATGAAAATGATGAGGACAACGATGTCGGTACATCCCCGATTCTTGATGGGGTTGGTCAGTTCCCTTTTATCTTCTCCATCCGCCTACAGAAGAAACATACATTCAAGGTTTACCAAAACCTAAGTCTGCAAGTAAATGATAAAAGACGTTAACATACCAGCAATCTATGTTGAATTAATCATCAATTTTAAGGACATTAGTTTCAAAACATACATGCAGACATTAAATTCCTGAAATAGCATCTCATGTTACTTTCAAACCTTAATGATAACACTTTTTAAGATAAATCTGTGACAATATTTTTATAACTGTCCAGACGTTTTTTCGCCGTTTTCTACTCTGAATACCAAATATTGCATACAGACTACACAAAGCATATCAGCAGGATATAAAACACAGTAACAGCCAACTATACTCCGTACCAGGTATATCAATACACAGGACCAATAATGATAACTATTTAAAGAAAATTAGATAAAAAAAATTACCCAAACCCAGAAATTAAGAAACCAGCAACACCTAATAAAAACGTGATAGGACATTCCAGAAAATGTAAATGTTGATTTGACTCATCCTATAATAAATACTTATATCCATCCTGTAATCACATATTTAGCCTGCTTTGCCATGCAAGATACATATGTAGATGTCATTCATATTATCATATGTGTATTAAGAGAATCTGATACATCAATGAAATCACACAATTGTCCATTTGTCCCCTGTGAAAGACTGTATAAAAGAAGCAAGTATGAAAAACACAGAATATGCCAACTGATGAATAAATTCTATGATGTGATGGTCCTAGATAAAAGCGATCCAGAAGAAGAGGAAAGAATTATTGTTCTACAAAAACATGAAGATAGTGTTTGAGTTACCAATTTTCAATATTTACCAGGTTTGAGATTGTTTTCATTGATTCTACTTGTTACCAGTATTGATGTGAACTCCTTAGTTTGACAATTTTGTTTTCGTCAAAAGATCTTAAAATAATGTAGAATGGAACTCATATGGTAGATATTGTGATATTCTGAATATGAAAGTCTAACATCAATGCTTGTGAGAAAATATATCAAAACCTTTGCCTACTAATGAATCTAATATTATAGAGGTCAAATTTTATGTATGTCAGGAAGGCCTGACATTGTGTCAGACTCCGAGTGCTACTTATCCAAAAATAATGAATTTTTGTTTATTGCTTTATAAACATAATAATTTGCCTATGAAAAATAAATCAATATTTCAGAGTCAGAATGTAATTACAAAAATAGAACTGGAAAAACTTAGTACCAACTGATTTTCTATTTATAGTAACAAGGACCTTAGTTTTTGACCACAGGACCTAAAATATCACCCGCACAAGCACTTCCTTTGAAGAAGCATGGACTTTGCTTTGCAAGCAACAGACCTAACAGAACATATCATGTCAATAAAAAAATAAACCAGACAGACAGACGGACAGTCAGATGGACAGACAGATGGATATTCTGTTTACTGTAATGGCACCTGCATCTTCAGTGCCACATCCTAACAATCAATAATTATAGGTTAAAATCTATAAACCTGAAAAGTTATTAGGATCAAGATTAATATATCAATATGTCTCTTCTGCTCAATAGTTTTCATTCTGTCTTAATTATTTACATATATTTATAGTAATCGATAAACTACCTCTACCTAAATCAGTTGTTATAAATACATTTTCTACCTAATATTTACATACTAATAGAAAACTGCACCAATCCTATCTACACTACTGCTAAGTATCTACCAGATACTTAGAAAATATACATAGGTAACATATAGGTAATTTATAGATAAATTCAACTAGCTACATATAATATCAGTGCATAGGTCAACCACTTCCTGTGTATGTCTTCTCGATTCTGTTTTAGGTACATTATGTATTAATAAAATATCTGTTTGCTCAACCACACCATGTGTTTACATCATTTGATTAGAAAAAATCATCAATTTCATAAATGCCAATTTCATTGGTTTACTTTGTCCTTTCAAATTATGGTTTGTTTTGTGGTTTTGATACTGATGATTTAGTCAGATATTCACAATTTTTCTGGTTAAAGCAGAGATAATATATGTTAACAAATAATTCCTAAGTCACATTTTTGATAAAATATTAGTATGAGCTTAGTCTGGTTTAGGCAAGGCATACTTAACTCAGACCTCAATTATATCACAGTAAATAATATACCCGGACGTACTTCAAAAGCTGTTCTGAGAGGAACAAAAATCACAACAGTATAATCATTGTGATGAACCTCTGAAGATTATGACAAGACCCACCTGTTAAATAACATTGGCAGAATCTATTATTTCTATCATCCTCTAACGGAACAGCAGGATGATGATGGGTTTTTGGCCAATACTTAGCTCTTTGTGGTGAAGTAGTTACTGTGAAGTGTATATATTTCTTGGCAAGCTCCTAGAGCTATCATACACATGTCTACTGGTACAAACTCACATTGAAAGCCAGCTAGCAATCAGTAACTCTGTGCTCTTCTATATGTTTGAAATAACCTATCGCTTGCATACACAGATAGAGAACTTCAATAGTCATGGTTCATCTTTTATTTCAGAATTATCATTAGTTATCCCTTTTCTTTACAAGGCTTCTCCCTATCAATTCTTGTTCTTTATACAGGATAGCGATACCGACAGTTGTCTATTGGCTTGATTTGAAAATTACTGGGCCTTTTATTGAAAAGACAGGGAGTTAAATATACTCATAAAGACTGCTACAGACATTTGAGCTTTAACAAAGATATTCCTTCAAAAAAGGCCTTGAACAAAGATATTCTTTCAGATGTGACCTTGAAAAAATGCACTCCTAAACATGACTTTTAACCAGTTATTTTTAAAAATATGACCATCAAGATATGACCTTCAACAACTGCAATACAGGTATGACCTTCAAAAGAGTTCCTCATACAAATAAGGCCTTGAACAAAGGTCATCATACTGATATGACCTTCACCAAATAAACTTCTACAAATATGACATTCAAGGAAGGCCCTTCTACAAATATGACCTTGAACAAAGGTCAACATACTGATATGACCTTGAACAAAGATACTTTTACCAACCTGCTCTTTAATAAATGTTTTTACCACAGACATGAGCTTGGCTATTGGCACTCCAATAGATACTTGCTAAAGAGAAAATCTGTGATATCTAAGTAATGTATTATATACAGAGATACAATAAATGCTGTATTGGTACTATATTGGTACTGATATTTCTTCAGACATTAATGATGAATGTACATTGACCTTAGCCAGTACATATTTCTTTGTGGATCAATTCTAGACCTTACTTTACCTTAGCTTCCATTTAAAGCCGAGGAACTTTTACACCGTACATAGGGAGCCCGGGATATATATGTAGCAGACATTATTACATCTAATCTTAACTTCAACCTACTATACACCTAAACACACATTATCTCCACTACATTATTCATAGCACAAGTGCTGGCATCATCCATTTTTGAGAAACAAGAAGGCAAAAATGGAGAAAAAAAAAGTGATTCAAAGGGTAGACCAAGAGACTGAAAAAGAAATCCTATATTGAGTAATTAAATAATTGAAGTTCCAAAGCAAGGGCTACAGTTTACCATTAACTATTTACTCATGGCTCAGGTTCTAATATGAATAAACATCCAATGCAGACAAAGATACACCCATGATTTGATATTAATTACTTTATCTAAATCAATAAGAATGTTATATTTATTGCCAGCTAATTGAAAAGCTATGGTCTCCTTTTTGGGATATTTATGAAACACAGAGTTAACAAGATCTGAACTATATACTGTATACCTATACCCACCAGTATATAGGTATAAAGCTTATAGTTTAATTATATAGATCACATTTGAAATACAGTAGACATATTTACATCAGCACATTATGTTTTCTTTTATAATGATATCAATTACACCCATTATTTGTAAATAAAGAATTCCCAAAGGACGATATCAGCATCAGATACACGACAAAAAGTATTAGCGGCATTTGATAACCGTTGTTGAGTGGCTAATCTGAACAATTACCCTTTTAGTTTCTGGACTTCCATCATAATGGTTTCATCTGTGTACAATTTTGTACATGACAAAATGAGGATTTTCTATAGCTTTAATGGACCATATATAACACATATACTACAGATAATCTAGGTTTCTATAAACATTGTATAATACCGAGTCTAACTAAATTTTCTTTATTAATTTCTTTTAGACATATACCCACCATAAATCAGTAATGACCAAACTTATGGCAGGATAGGTCCAGTTGTGTTTGGTAATCATGTTTATATTACTCATCAATCTGTACATAAACAATAAAACAAACCAGACAATGCAGTCTGTAGATGCCAAGTTACAATGAGATATTTAGAATAAAGATAATGCCGTACTAAATACAGCATCACAATGTTTTATTTTATTATAAGAATCAAACACTTTGATAAATATCACTTTGTTTGTACCTTGTAAAAGCTTTGAGCTTTATTCTGAACTTTCACCATACTGTATCAAGTCTGAGTTTTCTCAGTCCATGATATTTCTATATAAAGATAAATGGAGCCAGACACTAGTTTTCTAACACCCATACATTAAGCAAGAAATTTCTCTGCCCTGATATACTGCATTTCTATGCCCATATAAGGTTTTGAGTGACGTATAGAGTTTTCGGAGTCCCTGATAGCTACTGTATCAAGGTATGGAGCGAGACACTTCTCTACACCCACATTATACAGTCTGTATACAGTTTAGGATTAACGAGTTTTCTGAGCCCACCATGTTATGTGTCAAGGTAAGGAGACGGATACCTGTGAAAAGTTTCTTCACCAACTTTACACCGTACAAAACTCAGGGTGACAAGAATTTCTAAGCCAATGATATATTATTAAAAGAGCCTGAGATTACACTTTTACCTGTTTGAAACTAAAATCATCATTATGGTTACAATCACAGATAACTCAAATTTATAATTCTTACGTAAAGGAGGATTTCAGATTTACCATGGTGACTTGAAATGATATGTGTTTAAGTTAATGTGATTTT